TGTCTACTGAATTGAGTGATGTTCTGTACGTGCCTTGTTGATATCTTGTAACTCTAGCTTCAAGTTTGATGCAATTGTTAATTTTTATTCAAGTTAAGCACATCATTGATGATAGAGCTAAACTATAGTGGCATGGTTCAAATATAAAGTTCATGTACTTTGACTAAGATTTCAAAATCATACTTCTAGACTTCTTCATTTCGCAGTATTAGTCTTTTCACAGTTTCTTGGTTTGGTAACTGTTAGAAGTTGGAAGTTAGAAAAAAGGGGGGTAATTGATGTGAATATGTCGACTTTATAAAGAAAAAGATTTCTTGATTGGTTGAGAATTGCCGTGGATATAGAATATAGATCAGGTTAGTAAGCGGCTTTTAGAATAAAAGTGGGTTGCTTTAAGCAAATGCTTTGGAGAAAGGTGATGCTTGATTGATTTCTTACTTGCTTACACTTGAAATGACAATGCCTGTTTGTATATTGTCATCCACATCCTATGTATAATTCTTGTTACTTAAAATAGTATTTAGAAAATTCTATTACATACTGGAATTTTGCAGCAGGTTTTAATCCTTCTACTTGATACAAAATTCAACAATTCAAAGCATAATTTGTAGTTGTTTGAATTTGAGTTTTGATAGTGTCTTCGTAAATATGTTTTCAAATTGAATTTTTGTTGTCTAGTAATTAAGTGAATTTGTTTACTTGCCCCATCTATGATGAAATGATATTTAGTAGTTATATGCTTGGTTTGTGATGATGCATTGGATATTTTTGTCATTGCAATAGTTTATTTGTTGTGATAAGAGTAGGTTCATCTCTTCTTTTAAGTTATATTGCTTGACATCTGGTTTCTGTAGCAGCTGTCATTACTTTATTTCCGGTGTTAATTGTACTATTGTTGCTTGCTTTTAGATACTCTAAAGAAAAATCCTTATTAAAGCAAGAAGGTATAACCTGATGTAATCTTCAGATTGTACCTTTCTTGGTTCTGCCATGGTAGTGCTTTTCTTTTGCCTTTTGACTCCGCTAAGGTGCCATTTCACAATCACTTTGCATCCAAGTACTAACTTTCACTTGATTTATTAATGGAATTTGGAGTAATATAAGAAAGATGTTATTCATAGTTATTTTCATCTACGAAATTTGCTTGATGTTTATTTTTTGCTGGTAGTTTTTCTTTTTTATGTATCATTTACATTCTAGTAACATGGTATCTTCTTCTCCTACAGAGTAGATAGTTCTAGTTGCTTCAAATATTATTTAGAAAATCCCATTACTTTAATCCTACAGAGTAGATAGTTCTAGTAGTAACTAGTGATTACATGCTAATTTGAAGTTAGTATACATTAATAAAACCAACACAAATAGCAAAGAGCTTGGTTAAAGCAAGAGCTCGGTTTTTAGTTTTATGAGAGAAATAATAAGCAGCAAGTAGTTTTGCCCACTGAAGTGAGTGTGGCTTTTGGACAATTTGACCAGAATATGTGCAGATACTCTACTGTCACGTTAACAAGTACTATTGCATACTTTGTTGAATATTTGTTTACGAGATAGTTGATTGTTATAGACTAAGTCTTACAGATATCCATCCTGAATTCATTTTTTGTCATATGTTTACTCAGGTAACAGCGAAGGCAGTCTACGAAGCCATTGCCAAGTATAAAGTGACTCATTTTTGTGCAGCACCAGTGGTTCTTAACACAATAATCAATGCCCCACCTGAGGAAACCATACTTCCTCTCCCGCATGTTGTGCATGTGAATACAGCTGGGGCTGCTCCTCCTCCTTCTGTTCTTTTTGGAATGTCTGAACGAGGATTTCGTGTCACACACACTTATGGTCTCTCTGAAACCTATGGCCCCTCCGTCTATTGTGCCTGGAAACCAGAATGGCATTCACTTCCTCCTGAACGCCAAGCCCAGCTCAATGCAAGACAAGGGGTTAGGTACATTGGCTTGGAAAACTTGGAAGTGGTGAACACAAAAACCATGCAACCTGTTCCTGCTGATGGCAAAACTGTAGGTGAGATTGTTATGAGGGGCAATTCTGTGATGAAAGGGTACTTAAAGAACCCTAAAGCTAATGAGGAGACCTTCGCAAATGGATGGTTTCATTCTGGGGATCTTGCTGTGAAACATCCAGATGGGTATATAGAAATTAAAGACAGATCAAAGGACATCATCATCTCTGGTGCTGAAAATATCAGCAGTGTGGAGGTAGAGAACTCTCTTTATTCGCATCCTGCAATACTGGAAGCAGCAGTGGTTGCAAGGGCAGATGAGAAATGGGGTGAGTCTCCTTGTGCTTTTGTCACATTAAAGCCAGGAGTGGATGATAGTAACGAACAACGTATAGCTGAGGATATATTAAGGTTCTGCAAGGCAAAGATGCCTGCTTATTGGGTTCCAAAATCCTTTGTGTTTGGACCCTTACCTAAAACGGCTACTGGGAAGATACAGAAGCACTTACTAAGGGCAAAGGCAAAAGAGATGGGACCTGTTAAGATGAGCAAGTTATAAATGATCATGACGAAAAAAGGTGCCAGTTATTTCAATTTGTGATTAGGATTCTGCTTGCTTGTTAGTCCAAGTTGTTATCTATAATGATATATATATATATATATATATATATATATATATATCAGAAAGCTTTTATCTATGTTTCAAAAGTGGTTAATGAGACAGTGTCACTAGTGCATTTTGAAGTCAATAAATCCATTTTTGCTTCAATTATAGCTTACAACATGTTTTTTTTTTCTTTTTCATTATGTGATGCAATTTGAGGTCAGGGATAATGTTCAGATAAGTCTTCCACAAACTCCAAGAATGAAGTTCCTGAAAATTGGACTGAGAAGTAGTTCAGTATCTTGGCGATCATTTATTATTGGGTTTATGACATTTTATACTCAGACACTAGTTGAAACTAGGTATACAGAAAACACAAATTATGCAACTGCATAAATTAAGGTTGGACACACCGATGACAATCAGATTTAGACAGTGATAAATCTAACAATGGTTACAATTAAGGTTGGACTTCCTTTATTCCTATGCTTTTTGGTTCTGTCCAAAGATAAATAAGACTAAACAATACGTTAATATTGGTGAGCCTAGAAAACTTCATGGTTTTATTTGAGGCTACGTGTCTCTTGATTCATACAATCTTTATCTCTTTAAAGAAGAGTCGGACAAAATTTCTTTCGACTTTTCGCGTGGATTTCAATAATGTGTCAGAAGAGAAATGGGGTTTTCAAGACCACCATTTCAACAATATTGCTATATTTACTTTCTTATCTACCATGAATTCTGCTATTTTATTTTTTAATTTATGAAAAAGGATACTGCTGTTTGATTTTATAGATTCTAATTTTGTCTTTTTCTTTTAATTAATTGATACAAGTGATTGAAATTTTTAGTTCACCGAGTGTTTGGTGTCTGTTATTATATTATTTTAGTTAATTTATTATTGTTATTTTAGATTTAGTTTATATATTTTTTATCATAAATAAAAATTATATATATATATATATATATATATATATATATTTAATATAAGAAAGATTAATTTCATACACAGTTTTCATTATATTTAATATATTATCTATAGTTTGGTTTTTTTTAGAAAATAAATAAATAAATTTTTATTGTCTTTGTCACTATACTTCTTGCGACATATCTACAGCTGTTGGCGTCATTATTGTCTATAATTTTGATCGTCTCAGTTAGATTATTATCGTGCCGTGTCAAAGACATCTTCACATAGCTTTTACGCGCTTTCAGTGTTTTTTGAAATTGTGGATTGTTTCATTTTTTGTCGTGCATGGTGGCACGACTTGCAATGATTTAGAACATAGAAGTCACTTTTTTTCCTCTTTCAAATTCACGGTGAATAGTTGCATGTTTCATCTCCTCTCAGACACCATCCAGATTACTCTTTTTTCTTTTTAAGGTTTTTTTTAGTTTATTAATGACTTTTTTCGCGACTGTCTCTTCTAATTTCCCATTTGTCATCATGGTGTTTGACTTGTCCATATATACAAAATGGTTGTTAATTTATTTATGTGGCTTTTCAAATGACTTATTTGTTCGTTGGATGTCAATAATGCATTCTTTAACATATTCTTTAAGGATGATTTGTAAGAAGAGATTGACATGTAACAACCTTTCACATTTGTTATTTTCGCACATTATTAACAATTTGGTATCATTCAAGTGTGAAAGCATATATTTTTATTAGCTTTTATGAATTGTATTAATAACAAGCTTGTATATATTCTTAATTAGTTTTTTATTATTATTTTTATTTCTATTTTAAATTTAATCTATATTTCTTCTATTATAGATAGAAGATCTATGTGTATATTCAATACAAAAGAGAATAATTTCATACTTAATTTGAATCATTCTTCTTTCCCATATTTAGAATATATTGATCTTAGTATATTAATATTTTTTAATATTTAAAAGAAATTATTAATATATTTTGAAGACTCAGGAAAAACAGCACAAAATAATTAATAAAAAAAAATACAAATTCCATAATTTTAAACCTTGTTCTTATTAGAGTATATTTTTAGTCTTACAAGTGTTGAGTTTCGGGTACAAATCTTAATCAGGGTGACATGAAAGATTGGAGTTTTTGTTTTAAATTATTCTGTTTTCCTTAAAATAAAATATGAAAATTATTTATATATTAAACATGAGAAACTTATTATACCTTATTATAGATCAAATTCTTAATTGAATAAAAATAAAAAATAAATCTTAACACTATCAATACATATATTATTTATTCAATTGCACAACCTTATTTCCTACTTATTTTACGTATGTTTGGTTACATCTTATTTTCTAATTAAAATATAGTCTTGAACATATGACAATCAAACAAATATTATACTCTAAGTGCATACATTATTTTCTCTACTCATTCTTTTTTGTTGTAAATTAATTTTAATACACATTTGATACATTCATGAATTTGACATGATGTTTTTTTACATTAAGTGTGGAAATTAATTTAAAAACACATCCGACACATTCATGAATTTGAAATGATCTTTTTGTATATAAAGTGTAGTTGTTTTCTATACATTGCATCCATCTATTAACTTTTGCCCATCTTTACGGGAAAAAAAATATCAATTCAAAAACATGTTATTCAAGATTTAAATTTGAATTTTGATTTTTTCTTAGTTTTTAAAATATTACTTTGAGATATAGTTTTACAATATTAAATTTAGTTAATTAATATAGTTGATGAAAAATATTATCAATTAAAATAAAATCATTTTATTATTATTAATTAATAATATTGGGCCCAAATTAGATTATGATAGTTTTGAAATATTATATTAATAAAATATTGAAATATGTTATTATTAATATAATAATATATATATAATATTAATATTATTAATAAGCTTTGAAAATTTAATCTATTAATAATTATTATTACTTATTAAATTATTAAATATAATATTAAATTTAAATGTTTCAATAATTAAAATATTCAATAAATTTTTAATTAAAATAATACTGAATATTTTTTCAAAATTATTTTATTAATAAGTATTTTTTTTATGAAAAACATGGGTAATATAGTTACTGATGGTTGGTGATAATAAACTTGAATGGTGTAGTATGATTTTTTTTATTTGATTTTTAATTTGTTGGTTTGCTCTGGTTAGTCTCTATTATTTTTGGGTTTAGTTTAGTTTTTTAATTTTAAAAAAGGTTTAATTTTAGTCTTTTATTAAGTTAAGTTCACTTATAATTGAATTATGATTTTAATATTCATCGAGTTTTTAAAAAATTTATGATAATAATTTTAATATTAGATATATGAGTTTGCTAGTTGGTTACAAAATTTCTCATTTTTTTTCATCATTCTCGTTAATCTCTCTTACTCCAACCTTTTTTCTGTGTTTGTTTTTATTTTGATTTATATGAGGAAAGGGTTGAGAAGAATGAAGAAAGTGGAATAAGGTTTGATTTTTTTTTTAATTTTAAAAAGAAAAATTATTAAATATTTATAATGTAAAAGGGATAATGGTGGTGGTACTTGCAAATAATAAAAACCATCGCTAACCTCACACTTTGGGACAAGCATCTGATGGAATAGGAAAAGGTAAACCGGCATGCATGAACACAACTTAAATCACCAGCAAATTTGAATCTGTCTCAAGAAATAGATTAAGTAAAAGTGTGGCTTCTCACTAAAAAACATAGTCAAAAGTAGTTATAACTGGAGAGAGAAGGGAAAGAATAAAGGTATTTGTTTGAGTTTTTTTCTCGGTAAAACACAGAAGCCACAATATAATAGAATGTAATAGATCATCCTGATAATTTATTATTTTTTAAAATTAAATAATTTTAAAATTAAAAAAAAATCAATAAGTGAAAAAACTGATTTTTTTAAATTGAAAAACTAATTTGAATAAAAAATAATTAAATAACCAATTAAAAAACTAAATCACTAATTAAACTTTTTTTTGTAAACTAATATATATGTTATTTGTTAGTAAAACTTGGAAGAAGATGACAAGAGAAGTCATGGATTTAAATTTCTACTAACATTTAAAATATATAAAATTGGTCTAAAAAATTTAGAAAAGAAGATGAAAGAGATTGTTAATTCAACTCCATAAACAAAAACTGACACCGTAATATAATGATGAATTATTTAGCATTAGGTTTAGATTTTGTCATTTTTTTTCTTATTCTCACCTTACAAAATGTGAATAGTATTTATTAAAAAAACATTCTCTAAAAGAATACAAATTTCATCATTCTAAACATTGACTATATTTTTAATCTTAAAAGTATTGTCTGGACGTCAGATATCTGGATGGCACGTGTGTTAAAATATGGAACTAGAATGAAAATATTTATTAATCCCTTTCTGTTCAGTTTTTAATTCATTTTTTATATTTCAGATAATTCGTTTGAAATTAAATATAATATGATTTAAGAAACACTCTAAAATATCTTAGATTAATAGAAATATTGATAAAATAGATGGGATAATACTCTTCTGAATTCTTTTATGAAATGAGTTTGGTCTAATTACTTTCCAATCTACTAAAAACACAATTTAAATTTATTTAAGGAGACTTTCTACACTGGGACAGTGCCAGAAACTATAATTTCCAGATATAAAATAATCATTAATCTAATTATCGCTTTGAAAGTTTTTCTCATATAAATCAATATATATAATTTCATGAACATAAAAATTAATTAATATTTTTTCAAAATGTTTATAATATGAAGAATTTTATATCCTTCGATGATTTGAAAAGTTTGACGTTTGCTAATTTTCTAGAATGAGAGTGTGTTGTATTGTATGTTTTCATATCAGTACTGGTGCCTTCAAAATGATAAGGTTATGCTAATAAATTATATTCTGAGAGAGGTAATAGCTTCATAATGTTAATTACTCGTAAATTATTCTGTATATTTTAAAATAGTTAATAAAAGTTATTATTTACTAACGTAAACACACACTATCTTGCTATTCTATTTTAATAAATTAAAATTTAATATTTATATTAATTTTAATCGTATATACGTTTAAATAGAATATGTGTATAGTGTGCTATGATCGTTTTTTTACGTATCAACGTATTTTCTTCATTTATTTTTTAATTGGTTGTTATTTTTCACTACGATTTTTTTGTTTTAATTGGAGTTTTGTTTTTGAGATTTTCTTTATTTTATAGAAAAAC